CCGGCCGGCCTCCGCCTGAGCCCTGGCACCTGCGTATCTGTGCTCCCGGGGCTCCCGAGCAACCACATGACTCACCCTGGCCCGAGAGGACGGTGAGATGTAGTAGTGGCTCTCCGAGTCCCCGAGCCGGATGCGGTGGCGGCAGGGGCTGCTCAGCCCACTCAGGGCACAAGTGCTGAGGGCAGAGGGAGTGCTCAGACCCAGCCGCTCTGCTCCAGCTGCAGGGGCCCCCGGGTGCCCAGGCCAGTCCCCTCCTGGGCAAGAACACCTGGTCAGCCCTGCGCTGTAGCCAGGAAACCACACAGCCCCTCCTGGAGCTGTCCCTGCTGCCGGCGGCATCTGAGCCACTGCAGGGGCCGACGCTCCTCCTGCTCCCCACAGCTACGCCCTCAAGTCCCACCCAAGCCAGGCCTGGGCAACCTTGTCCTGCTGGGTGCTGAACAGCAGGCCACCTGTCCCTCCCCAGCCAGCACCCCTGGATCCCTCAGCTCCTTGCGGCCTTTCTCTCCCCTTCTCCCAGCTACAGCTGGGCTGCTTCAAACTATCATCCTTTCCCAGGGAATCCTGCTGTTGCCTAGGAAACAGCTAGAGAGTTGCCCAAGAGAAGGCAAACTGCTTGGCTGCAGGACTCACCAGGACATCCGCTGAGCCCACTTGGCCATGACACCAAGAAGATGGGGACGTCAGTGACGACAGGCTGAGCCTCCCCCCCTTATGGGGTCAGCAGGGGTCCCTGTCCTCGCAGATGGCAAGGGCCAGACTCAAGCTCACCTGGTGTGGCCACACTCCGCGGCAGCAGCCTTTGAGGTAGGCTGTGTGTGGGAAGCCACAGGCTCGATGGTGAGTGTGTTGTCTTCCACGGCACCCCGAACCAGCGCAGAGAGCTGCAGCAGACGGCAGGGCTAGTGAGGTGGACATGCGGATGGGCACACTGGACCTCGCTGCCCACCACTGCTTCCTCACCTCGCGCATGGTGAAGTCCAGGCAGGGGCCCACATCCTCGCGGTAGACCCTGTCCAGGAAGGGACAGGCCTTGTCCAGTGTGGGTGCTGCCCTCCAGGCCTGGAACTCTGCAAACAGCGTTGTATCCATCTGCGGGCAGCAGGGCAGGGAAAGCCAGGGGCATGAGGGTGAGGTGGCCCAGGGCTTGTGCCCAGCAGTGGTGGGCAGCCTCATCTGGGAAAGAGCTGTGAACACATGCTGGGTTTTCAGTTCCTCGACGCTAGGGACCCAGACCCAAGAGCAGGGCCCTCTCCAGGCCCCTCACAGCCTCTTCATGGGCTGAGGACACACAGGGACGCTGGCCTGTCCCTGCATGCAGGGGCGTGCATGGGTGGCCCCCTCTGGATGGTTACCTGCCGTGCAAAGGGGAGACAGGCGGTGGCAGCAGGCTCGGGCTCCCCAGGTGGGGGTGGCCAGGCCGGCTCGTAGGTGAGGTGGGCAGCCTTGCTGGGGAGCACGCAGAGGAGCAGGGAGAGAAGGGGGGCGAGGCCAGGCTGGGCCAGAGGGTGGACAGATGGACGGACGGACGGACAGACATATGGACAGAGTTCACAGAGAGATAGGAGGCAGGAGGAGACATCAGTGTCCAGGTGGGGTCTCCGGGTAGGAGACAAGTAGCCGCAACTCCAACACCTGTGTCCCCTGGGCTCTTCCCTCCCCAAGGTCCCAAGGCCCATTTCCCACAGGCAGAAACTGAGGTCTCAGGGGCTGCCCCAGGGCCACCCAATCCAAAGCCCATGTGCCCAGTTGGCCAGAGGGAGGTGTCCTTCAGAGACATGTGTCTCGGGAAGTGGCCCCACGGACCCTCATGCTCAGGGACAACAGAGGTACCCACGTGGCTCTGGCCACAGTATGGACCCCGGCTCAGGCCACCTGACCCTGAAATTCTGCCCAACTCCACAGGGAAAGGGATGTCACCCAGTCTGTGGGGTGGACAGGCTCCAGGCCACACGGGCCTGCCAGGCTCAATGACCCTACAACCCTGCATCCCCAAGCCCGCACCTCACCTCCCTGCCCTCCTGACCCTGCACCAGGCCCTGCCCAGCCAAGGGGCAGACGGCAGGGCACAGGGCGCTGCTGGTACTCTTGGGCCGTGAGTGTCCCTTGCGGAGCCCAGCCCTGTTGGGGCTCAGCAGCTGTGGGTGGAGCTCGCGGTTGGGGGAGGCTGGGGTGGACGTGATGACCAGGGTCTTCAGAGCGGTTACTTCCGCCTGGAGCATATCGATCTGCAGGAGGTGCGCGAGGAAACAGACCACGGGGCGGGCGTGGGCGGGGAGCACACTGCAGGAGACCCACTGAGTATCTGGGGTCCCAGCAGAAGCCCAGCCTGGGTGCCACAGCCTGGGTGCCAGGCTGAGGCACTGCCGTGGAGCAGCCACGAGTGCGCGAGACACGCGGCTGCAGGCCCTGCCACCCAGCCCCCGCGGCCAGCCGGCCGTGGAGCCTCACCTTGCCCCAGGCCTCCTTCAGCTGCTTCTCGGAGGCCGCCTGCTTCGTGTTGGCCTCCCGCACCATCTTGTGGGCCTCCTGGAAGAGGGCGGGATCTGTGGAGCCGCCAGGGTCGGGCCCCCCCTTCCGCCGCACCCGACACCCCCGGCTCCGGGACCTCGAACAGGCTGGCGGTCAGCTCCTCCAGCTCGCGCTCCAGCTGCTCCCGCACGCGACACAGCCGCGCGCACTCCGCATCTTTCAACTTCAGCTCCTGTGTACAGCGCAGGGACGGTCACTGGGCCAGCCCAGGGTCCCCAGGGGCCTCTGCCTGGTGCCGGGCCCGGCGAGGAGCGGCCGCCGGGAGCAGGGAGAGCTGGGCCCGGTTCCCGAGGCGGGGCGGCAGCCGCGGGCAGAGCGCTCAGTGCCTGCCCGTCCATTTCCCAGGCAGTCGAATCGGGGTCCGCCTCCCCCGCCGCTCCCGGACCCCACCTTCTGGGCTCTCCTCAGCTCCTCCCGCAGGAACTCGGAGCCCTTCTCGCGAATCTCCATGGAGGAGCTGCGCAGGCGCGACACGTCCAGCTGGGTGGGAGCCTCTTCCTCCGGGGTCTCCCCACCCTCTGCAGCCTGGACCTGAGGTGCAGGGGCCTCCCTGCGGCCTCTGCAGGGGTCCACACCCTTCCAGGGCCCCGGGATAGCCGCAAGGGGTGGGGGGAGGCCCTCGTCCGGCTGCGGCAGGCTGCAAGAGAAACAGGACGGTCAGCAGACCCAGGTGGGTCCTGAGGTTTCAAGGGCAGGGACGGTCAGGGGTCACAGCTGCCACCAGCCCCTGCCTCTCATCTGCAACACGGGGCCACTGCCAGCTCTCACGCGCCTCATGGGAACAGTGCAGGAGTGCTAGCCCTGGGCCATGGGGTGGATTTGGTGGGCAGCAGGGGTCACACACTGTGCTGACAGATGCACTCTGGCCTTGAAACAAGGCTGTGACCCCAGCACTCAGGAGGCTGAGGCAGGAGGATCACCTTGAGTTTGAGCCAGCCTGGGCTATGGGCTACTAAGTAGCTGAGCCAAGGCCAGCCTCAGCTACTTGGTAAGACTGGGGGGGGGGGGAGGAGGAGGAAAAAGAACGGAAGAATCAGAGCCTTGGCTTTTCCGTGGCGGAAGGCCCTGATGACTGCCGACTCTGCGGAGTCAGCGCGGCAGGCCAGGCGGGAGTGTCCTCCTCCGGCTCCGACGCCCCTCCTGTGCTGAGGACCCTGGCGCCAAGACAGCACCTCAGATCCGCTGGCTCAGCAGAGCGGGGCCTGAGCCAGCGCTTCGTAGCAGCTGAGCCTGGGCAGAGGAAGCCAGGGGGGGTGGGGAAGGGGGGAGGGGCAGGCAGGGCGTCTCAGCGGCCTCAGCACCAAGAAAGGATTAGTCACCTACTCACCCGGGTCCTCCCACTGAGCCACAGACCCTGTTCAAGGAGGTAGCCTAGGCTGGGCCCAAACTTTTGATCCTCCTGTCTCAGCCTCCTGGAGTGCAAGGGAAGGTGCTTGCCCAGGCCACCCAGATGGTCAGGGCCAACAGGCTAAAGGGGCAGTCATGTCCCCTCCACAGGTCCAAAGTGAGGGTGGGGCGGAGGCAGAATGAGGCCCAGAAGATCGGACCTAGCACAGCCCACACTGTCCCCGAAGCTTCTGCTTGTCCCTAGGCCACAGTCTTGCTTGCAGGACTGAGGCGCCTGTCCTGGGGGTACACGTGGCCCCAGGGCCCCCAAATCCTCTGGACCTGTGCCACGTAGGACAGGATGGGGCCGGGGAGCCAGCCTTAAGTCCACGGGGGCCCAGCACTGGCCCTCAGGTGGGTGGCCAGAGCTGCTGTCACTTGGCTGCCTGGGGCGCCCATGTCAGGAGAACAAGCGAGAACCCCTGGTGGAGGGCAGAGGCAGACAGAGGACACGGGTGGATGCCAGCTCCGGCTTCCTTCGAAGGTGAGGACCACTGGCTGCCCTCCTGAAGGCCAAGGCCACTTGCCTTCCCGTGGGACCAAGCTGCGTCCCCCCCCCCCCATCTCCACACAGACACAGCGAAGGAGTCTGCATGCACGGGCCCGTGGTGGGCAGCATGGTCCCCACCACTTCCCAGCTGGAGAGAGGATCGGACCCTACTTAGGAACCGAACCACAGACTCACAGGGGTGCGGTGATGCTGCCCTTCTCCTGGAGAAGCCCAGAGCACACACCCTCAGGAGAGCAGGTGCGGGGAGTGGGCCATCCCAGGCTGCCAGCTCCCCTTGGCTTCCCCTCTACCCAGCTCTAGACTCAGATCCCAAGGAGGGATGGCCAGTCACTAGAGCTCTGTCCTTGTCCCTCCTCCACCCAAACCCCACTGAGATGAGATCAGAGATGCACATCAAGAAAGGTTCTGTTCAGGGGCCAAGAGATCAGGGTCGAGCTCGGGGAGGGGGGGTGGCCAGCATCCACCAGCATGCAGTGGAGGCCAGGAAGGCTGAAGGATGGCAGCCATGTGACCGGGGTCTCAGGCAGGCCTCGGGCACCAAACCAGGCTCTGGGACCAGGCAGCAGAGTGTCACCACTGAAGGTGATGCAAGGGCACAGGATCAGAGAGGGTGGCAGGGGGACTGGAACACACAGCAAGGGGCTGGCTGGAAATAGCACCCAGGGTACAGGCCTCAAGGGGCACATGACTGCCAAGCAGGGCATGGATGGCAGCATGGGGAAGAGGCACAATGTACCAGCCACCCTGAGGAAGTGAGCCCAGGCCTGCGGGGTGGGGATGGGAACAGGCCGGAGGACAGCAGCTGGGGACCACAAAGGGACCCTAGGAGAACACCCTGAGCAGCGCAGCCGTGGAGCACAGGCCTGGCAGCGGCAGAGGAACTGGGAGACCAAGGGAGGGGCAGTGGCAGCTTCTGGGTGGCACCAGTGAGCAGCTGAAGCCACAGCCTGTACCAGTGGATGCAGGGACCTGGGGTGGGGGGCACATCTTGTCTCCAGGGTTGCAGGGTCCTCAAGAGGGGTGGAAGAACAGGTGAGACAGGGCTGGGGCACCCACAGGGCAGCAGGTCCTGGGGGGAGGGCAGGGAGGAGCAGGCAGCCTGGCCCAAGAGAATCCAGCCCTTTGTCCCAGGGTCCCAGCAACACAGGCCAGGATGGCCTCTCCTACCACACAGCATGGCACGTGCTTCCTATCTGTCTGAAGAGACCCAAGAAGTACCCCCCAAACCTGGACGCCCCCCAAGTCACCGAGGCTCCTGAGCTTAGAGTGGGCTGCACCAGCCGCGCCCAGGACAGGGTGCAGGAGCCACTCCCAGCTTCTGGGCCTCGATCTTGGAGGGCTTCAGGGCTGGTGACCAAGCCCTCCCTCTCCCATGTAGGGGCTGCTGCCTGGCACTGTGTCCTCAGGAGCTGGAAGACTTGCTCAAGCTCACAGAGCGGGCCTGGACCGCCCAGGTGGCGGTGGAGACACTGGGCCCATGGGACAGCCCTGAGCTCTGCGGTCACTGAGGACCTGGCCTTCGCTCAGTGGAAGACGACCCAGGTGTGCCACATTCCAGGAGCCACAGGGTAGAGGTGGCCCAGTGTGTGGGGTTCAGCATCCTGCAGGAAGTACAGGCACCTCCAGCTCAAGGTACAAGACACGAGCCAGGGCCAAGCAGAAGGGTCCCTCAGCCACTGTTGCCCACTGGAAGGTGGCCGATGGCCACCCCGAGGGGTCACCAGCTCCTAGAATGACCCCAGTGGGTGCTGGCAGTGTGGTCCATCCACGCGGGGGTTCCTAAAGGGCTGGCCGTGACCCCAAACCTTGCCTCCCCTCGGGTACCCAGCTCCTCTGCTGTCCCCCACATCATTGCCTTTCCACTACCTGCACTATCAGGCCAGGCCCACACAGGACAGCAGCACACGGGACTGGGCTCAGCCAGGCAGCCGATGGGTACAGCCAGGCTGGGCCACCACCTGAGGACCCTGTGACTCTGTACCTAGGCTTGTGCCTTACCAGGCCCAGCACTGTCTAGACAGGGGTCATGCCCACCCTAGGGCTCATTTCAACTGGGGACCCAGAGAAAGGCAGTGACAGCTTAGAGCTGGCAGCCACTGGCCGGCTTCGGCCTTCCAGTCACTGGCTGCGCTGCGACCGTGTATCTCCGCAGGCAGGCCAAGCGCACCGTCCCAGGCGCGCAGACCCCGCGCCCGGGCAAGACTGAGCCCCCTGTGCCGCCCCAACCATCGCGCAGTGGGGTGGCCCTAAACCCCCTAAGCCCGCCTGGGACCCCGCCTCCGGTTGTGCCTCTCAGCACCCCGCTCAGCCCAGGGTGCCGGGGGTGGCGCACAGCCTGCCGGGCGAGAGGGGTGCAGCCCTTGGGAACCCCCAGGCCCTCCAGCCGGGAATGTGCGCGCGGGGCCCTATCGCACAGGTCTGCCGGGACCCCACCTCCCGTGCTCCTACCCGCTCCACATCGCGGCGGCTGGTGTCCGCCGCGTCCCGCGCCACAGCACCGCAGCCCGCCGGGCCGCCCCGCCCCGCCCCGCATCACGTGGCCGAGGGCAGTCTGGGGTCACGTGCCTCAGCCCCACCCACCCCACTCGAGACGCGGGGGGCGAACGGAGCAAGCGACAGACGCGCCGCCTTTCTCTGACTACCACCCTGCCGCAGCACGTTGGCCCCCGGCGCCCCTCCCCTCTGCACCGCCTGTGCTGCGTGGCTCTCTCCAAATTGGGTTTCTTAGTTCTCCCATTGAGTTCTCGAGGGAAGGTCTTCCCTGGTGGTGTCCCTCCAGCCACCCCAAGGGCTCTGGCCCTGCCCTGTCCGCCCTTCCGCCAGTGACCCCAAGCCCTGCCTCTGTGGCCGTGAGGAGCCTCAGAAGGCTGGATGTGAAGCTATTTGAACAAGCCAAAGGCACATGTCCCGGAGGAGACCCCAAAGCTGGCCCAAGTCCTTTGTCCCTCTGATCCACCTGGGCCTCGACTTCCCCAGACCAGGCCCATAGCAGGAGCAGCGCTCCTGACCCTGTCCAGGTCCTGCCCACCCACCGGCTGCGGACCCTAAGCCTTTCCTTCCGTGGCCATGAGGAGCCCTGCCCAAGCAGAGGCCCGGGGGGGCCTGACCATGGGCTCCAGCATGGCCCGGCAGCGTACCTGAGCCTTGTTTCCGGCCAGGTTTCATAGGGCTTTCACAGCCAGGTGCTGGTGTAACTGACCACATGGAAGAGGGTGCCCTGGTCCAGGTGGGTCCCACTCCACAACCTGGGCAGGGGTGCCAGGCCGGACTCCAGGGGAGCCTTGCCCCTCCCTGGCTGACCACTTGCACAGTGAACAACCTAGACTCACGTCCAAGGTGTCCCTTCCCTTTTTTTTTTTTTTTTTTTTTTTTTTTTGTGGTGGAACTGGGGATTGAACTCAGGCCCTTGCACTTGCCAGGGAAGTGCTTATTGCACTGAGCCATCTCCCCGGCCCCTCCCTTCCCATTTTATAGTGTTCTGGCCCCAGGGACCTGCTGGGTAATTGTCCCCAGAATTGTAGCCCTTGCCCTTCTTTGGGTCCTTCTGCCCACCCAGCCGGCTCTGCTCACCTCAGGGGCTACCCCAAGCAGGCAGATGGTCCCCTCACCTCCACCCTGGTTGTTTTTTTTTTTTTTTTTTTTTTTTTTTTTTTTTTTGTGGAACCGGGTTTTGAGCTCAGGGCCTTGCACTTGCCAGTCAAGCACTTATTCTACTGA